GCAAAAATCATTGTTGGTGTCAAATCATCTTTGATCCATAAATGAAATAGTTTTATCTGACACTAATGCTCTTCAATCATAACTGCTTTCGAGTGTATTAACATAAGTTTAGGAAAACTGTCAAATCCAGCTGCATTTACTGCGAATGAATGCAATGGACGACGTAGAAGACATTTTCTTGAACTGCAAAAGGTGATCAGAAGACAGAACCCACTTGGCAGAACCTGACGATGAAGTCAAAGTAAAGACAGCAGAAATGTGCAGCAGCATAGATGCTTGGAAAAAAGTCTGTGACTTCGTTGAAAAGGTTCTAGGCGTAAATACGACCTGGATGCAGGAGCCCACATGGCACTACTCAAGGCTCTACCATGAGAAAATGGATAGTTTCTGATTTCAAGGTGGGAGACAGTTCTTGAAAACGAGTTTTTTAATCGGTAAGCAGTAATGCAGTTCGACACACTAACCAGAAAAAGACGACCGACGGACGGTGCACACAGCAACTTTACTTTATAATTATCATCATTGATAACGGTCCATTTGACTAGAGAACAAATCACAAATAAATATGCATATAAATTAATTAAATTTCAATTTTAAGAGCTTTTCTTCTGAATTTTCAACTCATAACTAATTTATAGAAAAAGCTTCTGTACCTTCCCATTAAATTCAGTAAATCACAACATAAACAGCCAAAGTAGACAATCGTATTAGGAAATTATTTGTATAAGATAAGAAAGGAAACTAAAATTAGGTAATTAACATAGATACGGAGAATATTACATAATGATTAACATAAAATCAATTTGTCTATATATGAATAACAGATAAATCTACTTCTACTATATCTATCAGAACTAACTATTGTATATATGTATTACAGCTAAATCAACTACTAAATCTATCAGAACGAAAAAACAAACTCAACCTCGATTGTTGGCGAATTTTCTCTGTGAAAACTTTGTAAAAAAGAAATCCATCGTGACTTTTTTCTCCACTCAGTAGCAGCTACTTTATTATATGACAGCAAAGGAGATTCAGCAAAAAACGGTGCCGTGTGGTTAAGATCAGCGTTGTGCCTTCATGTTTTTATACAAATTGCACTTTTTGCCTGGTTTTGCTTTATGGCTAAAAGCATTTTATGTGTGTGTGTGTGTGTGTGTGTGTGCTTTTTGCTTTTATTGCATACTTTGAAGCGGAGCAGACAAGAATTATGACACGTTGACAAAACGGCGTTGAGAGCGCAATGAATTATTAATAAATGAGCGCAAGCCAAGTGGCACTGTCGCGCCATTGCCACCACAGTTGACAGTCGCTATCACTGAAACTGGCCTAGATAGCAGCTAATAGTCGCCACAATTGCCAAAGTCAATCAAATGCAAAAGGATTGCCAACCAAACATCACATGAAAACCCAAACAACGAATAACAAGTTAAAACTTTGCAATCGGGTGTTATCGACTGCAGAATACTCATTCAGTGCACAAATACAGCCTGCTGCATTTACCGATTTGCCACGCCCATAATTAGTATATATGTATATATTATTTCAATTGATTTGATTTGTTTTGATTTGATTGATTGATTGTGGTTTGTAATCAAAAATTCAACTCTCTAGCATTAATAGAGCTCAAGATATACAAGGATTTGTATAAATGACTATATATAGTCAAGTTCAATTTGTCAGGCCCATTGTGAATATATATATATTAATTGTATATGATATAGCCGAATACATCAATTTTTGCTCAAGCTTTATAGGATCGTAACAGAAATTTACGTGCCAAATTTGGGCATTTTAACAATTTGTGCTTAGATATATCTGCCATATTTTTTGGAGCTTGTATTGTCAATTTGGCATTGCATTCCAAATTTCTGAGCTATCGAAAAATGTATTAACCGATTTGCCACGCCTCTAGTGGGCAGCTTGTGAAAATTTGTCCACATGATAAATCAAGGGTAAAATTTAGGAAATGCTTTGCATTCATATGGACAGATGGACGGGAAGACGAACCGAGCACATATCCAAATATACTCTTTTCACTTTCGTGAATGAGTATTGCAAAACAAGACCCAGCAACAACAAAAGCCACGACAAACTACAATAAATGTAAATTTGTCTTGACATCAAATCAGACGTGTCAAACAGAGTCGCCAAGTACAGAAACAAGTGTCCGGAAGCAGCAGCAGCAACCAAAGACAAAGCCTCTGGTTCTGGCTCCATCCGAGCTGATGAATGATTTTTATGCCGTGTTTTTATACCCTTGTTTTCGTTGCTTTCTTCCTTTTTCTTTATTTTGTACTCGTTTTTTCTTGTTTTTTTTTGTTTTTTGTTTTTTTTTTTTTTTGCAGTCAGGTCAACGACAGTCAGCAGCCGACATATGTGTGTGCATACACACAAACACACACATACACGTACATATATCTAAATGGGTTGTCTTCAAAATTCCAGCGAAAGCAATTTAAAATAAAAATGTATAAATTTACAAGTAAGAAAAACGAAAGCCATTTGTATACGCAGGCTTATGGATTGATAGAGAGAGAGAGGAGAGAGGAAGAGAGAGGGTGGTTGACGAGCAGAGAGCGGGTTTGGGAGAACACTCCTGCAGCAAGGCTTACACATTCGGGTAGACCGCTTGGTAGACCAAATTTATTTGGCCTTGCTCAAAAGTAAACGTAATCTTACGGAAAGCCATGTATTTCGTTTCCGTATGCTGGTTTGGCTGCAGCTGCAGGCGCAGGTGCTGGCACAGGTGTAGGTATACAAAAGACCATCCTAAAAATATACGAAACAATCAGTGGGGCTCACAGTTAGATTAACTGCGACGATAAAGCGCATAACTGATTGGAGTTTTAATAATAAGCTAAAGGCTAAACACACGCTAAAAAAGCCAAAGCCAAAAGCGTAGCAAACAGAAATGTCGCATCTTCTTAGTTGAGTTGAAGTCACGTCCATACTTTGATTTTATGTATCTAATATAATTTATTTTTATTTATTCCGTTCTTTAATTTATTTATTCAT